CAGAACCACCTGTTGTACTTCAGTCTCAAATTTCAAAATGGCTCAGTTATTTTCCCTCAACCAAAATAGGTCTATCAATTTTGCAATGTCTCAGGCTTCCTCAATTGCCATATTTTAGATAGCTGTTGAGGTCCTAAAAATGGCAGATGAGGTCCAGCTGGGTCATGTTATTGCTTCTGATGTTAAAAGAAACAAGATATCAAAAGAAGCATGTGTGTTATTTACAAAGCATTGTCAAAATTTATCCTTTAGACCAGCCATCAATTCTGTAGTCATATCTGAGCCTGCCACACCCCAGTTTGCTGTCTTACGTAGATTTTAGCCTGGTGGAGATTTGCTGACCCAAATGAAACCATGCAGCAACACTTATTACTACACATTTTTAATTCCTTGAGTTCTGGTGGCAGTTATTTCTACCTTGTTTTTAGTCTTAAGACATCCACTATGCATCATTTACAGGGACACATCCAGGTCCTGAAAGCAACCACATAAAACACTAAATATACTGAGTGCATAAAAAAGCTTGCTGTATGCATAGGGAAGCTGTTCACAGCAATACTTGCATCTGAATTACTTAATCTAACTTCTCTGTAAAATCATGACAGGCTGACTGGGTATCATTGTAAAAGAAATAGCAATTTTCCTTTCATATTTCCAAGCCCTCTTCAGGCACAGCAAGTAGTAGCAAAGGATAACTCGGTCAGGTGATTAGTCTCTACCCTATACTTATCAAGCATTAGGCCTGCTTAGCATATTAAATCTAATACTCTAATTTGGGCTAATGCAATTTATGGTAGCTTCACTACCCACTTTCTTAGCCAGACCAGCAAGAATGGAGAATACTGAAATATATGTGAAGTAGCTCATTTCAGTACCTTTTAAATGCACATCTTTAGAGTTGCACTTATCAAAATTGAAGATGGCATGTGTGCAAAGAACACTGGAAAATTCCCACATTCCTAGTCCCTGTTGGTACATCTGATGGTGTCCTTCTCCTGGTCCCCACAATGGGAAGACTTAAAGAGTTGCCTTCCTTGTGTGCAAAACTATGGCATTAATGATGCAACAAATGGAATCTGTATTAGACATTTGCTTCTTCCAGCAGACCAACCAGGTAACCAAATGTATGTCAATATCTGTGGAGGCAAACAGGCGGTTGGAATGAACGTCCATGAAAATACAATTTGATTGGAACCAGGGGCACAGCCATGGGTTCCTGGCCATTTAAGCCTGTATCATCCTTTCACCGCAGATGGCTCCTGGAAGGCAACTGACAGGAACCAAAAAATCGATGTGATGTGTTCTCACCGAGCTCCTACCTTCCCCCCCCCCCCCCCTAGAAAATGCTGCCTCCGCCGCTGAAAAGCATGACAGACCTTATTCTAAACAAACTTACCCAAAACAAGTCCACAGCAGGCTCCCCACGGTCCAACCGAGACCCAGGCACTCGGACTTAGTTCGAAGAAGCTCGCGAGGGGGAGGGTCAGGAATATGTTAACACTGCTCCCGTCAAGGCACGTTCCTTCAGATCGATGTGTGGACGGGCTACGAGGTCAGGCTACAGGACTCAGTGGGGATGGGATGTGTTTATCATTCGTGAACCGAACATGACGCGCATAAGGCGTTATTAGCGCAAAAATGTCTTGCATTTTGATTATATCACATGGCTTATGAGGAAAATAGTACAAGGTTATAAGATATTTTCATATCAAAAATTGCATATAACACCCTATAAATTAAAAAAAATATATTTTATAATATTTTATCTATATAAATATGGAAAAATATTACAACTAACCCACAAGCGCAGTTTTAAAGTATTACCACGTGATATGTAGCTGTATACGTTAATTAAATTTTTTGGTTTTTATATCGTAGCGGGCGTTAATCCGGGAGCGTTGTTTGTGTGCTGGTGCCACGGCTGTCGTGTGCCCGTGACAAGAAAAGCGTGAGTTTGCCGCTGCCTTGCCTATCATTTTCGATACAAATTCCACCAAATTTTGCCGTTGAACTGGAATTGTGTGACCGAATGGTAGGGTTCAGGGCTCACACAACAAGCACTGCTTAGCGTGAGATTTGATCCCAGGAATCCATCCATTCAGAGGATTCGGATTTTTACAAAAATGAAACTTGCTTGTAGGACAACTACTCAGTTACCAACCTTTCATGAGTAGTTGGTTGGAAGTGTATTTATTAACTGGCACATGGTCTGTTGTTTTTTCCTCTTCACACTTTTGAGTTTGTGAGAGGGATTGGTTGAACAAGTGACAAATTATTTGAAAACAGTATGCCAATCCCCATGGTACAGTTAGAGTTAAGTCAGTTTTTAGGTGAAGCCAAGGATGTAAATACTGTAATTAAAAAGACACTCTTTCATGAACTTGCCCTAGAACTGATCTAGACCTGTGCAGATCAATCTGTAGCTGATGGATACCATATATCATATTGTAATCTGACCTGTCATGTGTTTCTTGCTTTCAAGAGAATGTTTTGCATTTTGCAACACACCCTGGGAGGAGATGAGGCAGCAGGTGGCAGGGCCAGATTAAAAATGCTTTGTGGGTGTGGAGTACTTCTGTTGTGGGCTCTAAAATACTGAAAGTTATCCTGATTTTCAAAAGCCGGTTGAACTTCACTTTCTGTACTGTGCAGGGCACTTTTAAACAAACATGTCCTGGTGAGAGGTGCTTAGATGGCATTCAAAGCTCATAGCCATGTATTTTTTCTAAACATGGGCTATCTAGGGAACAGTACCCAGTGAACCCCCTGAATATACCTTGTCAAGTGATGCTGCACTATAACATAACTCAGATCAGGACCATATATCATCACAGTCAAGCAGCCCAAGGAAGATTGGTACCTCCAGAAGGTGAGGGGGCTCCAGGTACAGACACATGACAGGGCTGGCTTAGAGGGCCTGGGCCTCTTTGACACCCATGATGGGCACCCTTTTATACCATGAAGATGCATCTGCTGCATGCAATTAAATGAAAAAGACATAAGTAGAGCAGCACAGCTTAACCCAGGCAACCAGGTGATGTGGGCAAAACCTGTACTCTAGGCCAGTTGAAACACAAGGCATCTCAGCTCCAAACCCACATAATTACCATACTATCCATCTATAGGGCTTCAAGCCTAGATGAAGGGGCAGCCAGATGTCAAGCAGAATGTTCACCAGGTTTAGCAGGGGACACTCAAATATCTGGAGGACTGTCCCAAGCTGAAGGGTTGAGGCTCAACCTCAAGGCTAAAGGTAGATGGCAGGCTGCAATCAAATGGCCAAGCACAGGTACACCCCATGTTTAAGTAAAAAGGCGCCTCTAATTTCATGTGAAGCAAAGCCTATTGATGGATGTAGCTGAGCGCAGCAAACTGAGATGGAGAGACTTGCCAAGCCTCCAGCCTCGTAGAAGCCCGAGCCAAGTGGCAGGTGCTGCAAACCCTAGCAGAGAGCCAGAGAGTTTGGGTCCAGGTGTAAAGGCCCAGGTGTGCCCCTAAACATGGGTAGAGGAGAACTTTACTTTTCCTTCAAAGCCCACTTACAAAAAGAAGCATGTCCCACTGTCCCAGGTGGTGAATGCCAGACAAACATGGGCAGGGAGGTGCCCAGGCTTGTGTGAGAATGTGCCCAGGCCAGTAGCAGGTGGATGCTCAAAAGGTTGAGAAGATGGTTAAGAAGATAGAGAAGTCACACAGAGTCTGGTTGGTCCCTCCCTGGGTGTGAATTTGCTTGCTGAATTTGCTCTCACATCACATCACAGTTTTTTCTTAGAACATTTGTTATGCCCTACTTATGATGCAAACAATCAAACAACTGAATGATGCATGCAACCAAAGCCATAGTTATGCATGCACTACATGCATTTCAGAGGTTTCAGTTTTTTGCACCCTTGCAGGGAAGTCTTGGTCGCACGTTTGCCCCCCAGGTGGCACTCGTGCACGCACAGTGGCTCTTCTGATTCCTCTGGCCCCGTGAACCGGAGGACTGCTCCAGAGATTTGGAGCAAGATGGTGCCTTTGGGAAATGCCACAGGAGCGGGAGCGCTAGGTGTATTTAAAGGCAGACCATGCCCCTGAGCCGACACCGCAAGCCCTGGTTGTCACAGCGGTAATCCCGTGGCAGGGCGATCACTCCCCAGCTACTGCCATCTCCTGGCTGGGAGCCGGTCTGTGAAAAGCCTCCCAAAGGCAGGCTTTAACCGAGACCTCCCACCCACGCTGGCATGCACATGAACCAACCGAAACGGTTAAAAACATCACATGTCACACGAACACGTCACAGCTTAATCACGGTCTGATCTGATCTGATCTGAATCACGGTCTGAAATCACTTGAAGTGTTGACTTTCAACATGAAATTCTGCTGTACTGCTGGCTGTGATGTTTTCCTGAGCCAGTTGTGTGACATTTCCTTCATGCTTTCATACCTTAATTCCACCTGTTTGTTGACTTTGCGTTCGGTATATGTATGTGTGTGTGTTTGATACCTTTACTCCCCATGCGCGTCTCCCTCCGCACGTCACGGGTCATTAGTATGTCCATGAGTGCTTCAGCCTTTCCTCGGGGCAGACATACGATGCAAAATAGATACAATAGCAAACAAATAGATGAGGAAACCCAGATGCCAAGTGTAGGGTCTTATCAAACACAAGTACAGAGGCGCTGCAATGTGGCGAGCGGTGCCCAGCTCAAGGGCAGACCGAACATGAGCAGGAACAGGGCTCCAAAGATAAATGCACAAAAGCAAGGTTAAACGAAGTCCCAAGCCGGTTTTATCGGAAGTCCGGGTCGGGGTGATGTCCAACGGTGATCATGTTCCAGATGTCCGCGGAGGGGATGCGTGTGGCTGCTGAAGATCTGGCATCTGAACTTGTGCTCAATATTAAAGAAGAGTCTGAAAAGTGCCGAGGCGCGACGAATCCATGTTTTTGCTGTTCCTCCGTGGTGGAGGATCCTGCCAATGTCGTTTCTGAACTGATCTTGGATGGGTCAGGCGATGCCATGCTTGATGTCCTCAAGGTGAGAGCATATCATTTGTGGATGGCTAATGCATGTTCTTACTGTGCTGTTGGCTTTTTGGTACATGACCAACCATGATCAGATAGTTGTGTTCACCAATAATCCTGTACCGCTGTCTCATAGCGGTGTAATCGCGGAGAGTCACTCTGGGCCTCTAAATTAATGAAAACTATCTTTGTGAACATGAGGATCTACTCCAGTCAAAAATCGTGTGATTTGTAGGCGAAATTTAGTCAATTAATTGGCTGGAATCCTTGGTAAGTCCACTTGCATTTAGTCCACTTTTGGTAAGTCCACTTGCACATAGGTACCAGCGAGCATTTCATTTATTTAAGTTTCTGTGTCCAGGGAGTGCATCGCAAGCCTTGTTGCTGACTTAGTATCCAAATGGCTGTTGTGCACGCGTGTAAAGACGCCATTAGAACAGGGCTTTCCCAACTGGTGTCACCGGAATAGGCCCGGCCGAAATCCGGCGTGGCATTGCGCCACTTGTCGGGTGTTGGGGTCAGCGCTGACTCGCGATTGCGCCCTGCCGCCTGACATTGGAGTGATAATCGGCCCCATGCACCTCGAGTCGGAGCCGCGGCTGACTCCGTTGGAGCAAAATCAGGCATGAGTGCGCGCAGTCCAGACATGCTGACTGCGCAGTCTGGCATGCGCACTTATGCCAGACATACGGACATCTACGCAGTCTGACATGCGCACGTATGCCATGACATGACATATGTACATCTACGCAGTTCAGACACGCAGACTGCGTTGTCTGGCATGCGTACGTCTGCAGCCTTCGTGCACTAGTTGTTAGGCGTTCTTGCTGTTCACACACTAGTTGTTCACTTCTGACGGCATATGTCATGCATTATGTGGATATTAATATTTGCTTGCTGTGTCTTTACTGCTCATGTGTCCATGCATCCCAAACAGAAGATAAAGTTCGTGGAGCAATGCCCCCTCCCCCGCCCGTCCCACCCCATCTGAGGTGCTGGCCAGGACCTGCTGGGGATATCGGAGGTGCGGGAGGCAGCTCGCCTCTGCCGCACGTGCGTCAGCAAGCTGTACAGCTACTGTCAGATGTCGTCAGCCGTCTCTCAGATGCGGCGTGACATGCGGATCGTCTTCGCCAAGGCGTCGGCCGCTTTTGCAAAGGTAGTGTGCTCTCTGCATTGGCTGATGTATCTGCTGACGTGACGTGTATTACGGCTTGGTTGAGTCATGCCGATGTGCAGGACCGATACCTCTGCTGGCAAAGACACATGTCCGTAATGATCTTTAAATGCTGTATAGGGTGCTTGACGTAAAGTGTGCAACCTTTTTACACACCTTCTCTCTCTCCTAACGCTCTCGCCCATTCATTTACGCGTTCTTGGACGTCGTGTCAGCTCATAAGCACTTAGCATTATGCATACAATTAGCAGTCGTAAGGTTAAATTATCTGGCAAACAGTCATCCCAATGTGACGAGAACACCCCATTGTCAGCAAGACCGAAGGTCACGTTTAAAAGCGGATGTCACATTATGGGGAATATCCCCGGAAAAAGAAGAGCTGGCTTTAAATCGCCCGTGTCGCGTTACCTGACATGCATGGACGAAGCCGCGTTCTCTAACCTCTCACTGTTTGCGGCCAGACGCGGGCGGAGGAGGCGCTCCGCCAGCCGGGTGGCTCTCCGCCGCCGGCCGGGGAGGACTCCCCGCCTCCCCGGCGGGAGGAGCCGGCGCCGCGGGAGGCGGCTCGTCCCGAGCTGAACATCAGTATTCGGGTAGTGGAGGAGCAAACAGCGGCGTCCAGCCCGTCGGTGGGTCCGCCCGCCTGCCCCGATCGTGGCGGCCTCGGAAAATGACACCCAACTTGGACTAACGCTCCACGGTCTTTTTCATATTTTGTGTTAATATTTTGCGCTCGAATGTATGGAGTTCCTACATTCGAACGATTCTGGAAAACCCTGTCATTTACATACGCCGTGGTCTTGAATGTTCCAATTCCGAAATTTTATCGGGCGGAGGGAGGCTGAAGTTCTCCGTCCATTACTGCGTCCGGGCCTGCGTGGGGTTGTAAAACATTCCTTCCGCCGTGTGTGCTGTTTGAACGACCGCTTGGCTGCGCCCCCCCCCCCCCCTCCCCCACACACAAACAACACACACGCATACACTGGTTCGGTCAAGCCGTGTATGTGTCTTCGGGTCCTGAGTCTCGCGGTGTTGACGGCGGCCAGCGGCTCCCATTGGGGTTCAGGGTCGCGCCTGTCCTCCCGCCCCGCTGGTGTCCTCTGAGGGTGAGCTCATCTATTCGGTCAGCGCTGAGCCCCCCCCCCCCCCCTCCTCCGCACACCATCTTGGTGAAACGTCCTCGGGGGAGGAGCCTCACCACTGGCTGGACAGTTCCCCGTAGTTTGTCCGGCACCGACTGGTAAGCCAGGGATAATCCTTCCTCGCCCCTCCCCTGCATCGTTAAAATATACCGTTTTCGCGAGGGACGAATCCCCTCAGGAGGTATCCAGTCGCGATCCACCTATTCACCACTTCCATGGTCCTCCTGCCGTGGCACCATCCGTGACCGTTCTCTCCAGCCGTGACGATCGCCGTGGTCGTCGTTCCCGCCGTGACGCCGACCGTGATCGTCCTCCTCGCCGTGACGCCGGCCGTGATCGTCCTCCTCGTTGTGACGCCGGCCGTGATCGTCCTACTTGCCGTGACACCGTCTGCGACCGTCCTCGTCCGCCGTGACATGGGCCGTGACCGCCTTCCCCCGCCGTGACACGGGCCGTGACCGGCTTCCCCCGCCGTGACACGGGCCGTGACCTTCCTCCCCCGCCGTGACACGGGCCGTGACCTTCCTCCCCCGCCGTGACACGGGCCGTGACCGTCTTCCCCCGCCGTGACACGGCCGTGACCGTCTTCCCCCGCCGTGACACGGGCCGTGACCGGCTTCCCCCGCCGTGACACGGGCCGTGACCGGCTTCCTCTGCCCGTCGCCAGCCGGGCGTAGAGCCTGTGCGGCCGTTCTTCTGCGCCGAGGCCGGCTGCGGCCAGACGTTCGGCAGCGCGCGGCGACTGCAGGAGCACCGGTACCAGCGGCACCGGCCGGTCGGCCTGTCCTGCCCCCAGTGCCCCCTGGTGGCCGAGTCAGAGCACGAGCTGCATAGTCATGTGGAGGTGGGCGCGTAGTCGGGCAGCAGGCGACTCTTCCCCGGCCTGCTATGTCTGCTGACGGAGACTCGGCAGCGTCTCGCGACAAGCTGTGATCGTTTTATTATTTTGTCATCACAAGCTGCAATGCAACGCTCGCACCGATCGCCTCGGGAGGGGGGGGGGGGGGGGGCGGAGCGGAGCTCTAGCATCCACTGGGTAAGCACCCGGCGGAGTGTGTACGCCAATATATGGACCAGGCCCCGCTCCACTAATGTGCAGGTGCGTGTTTGCTCGTGAGCGAGCGGGGCGTGTCTCTGACGCCATCCGACCACCGCTGGCCTCTTAGGCATAGCCCAGCTCGTTTATTAAGCTTCAGTCACGCGGTAAATGTGGCGAATCTGGTCAATAGTACAAGCGATGTTTTGTTAAAGCAACAAATTAAAATAATGGTAGAGAAGTGGGCACTACGCGGGTGAACCCTCGGGCTCCTCTGGTGTGTGACCAGAAGGCGGGGTGGCTCGGGACGCACCTAAATACCAAAGCTCGCCGGGTGCTTGTCAATGGACATATTGAAAGCTCCTGGCGCTCACTACCAGGGCACGGGTCTCGTCCTGCGACGCCTGGGCCCGCCTAAACAGCGTGGCCCTGACCCGGGGGAGGGGGCACGGGGGGGGGGGGCGCGGAGTGACGGTGACGGCTCCGTGGTGGCGTCGCCAGTCGGTGCACCGGACGGGCGAGGCCCTGTATGGCTGTGACGAGTGTCAGGAGCGCTTCTACCTGGAGGCCGAGCTTAAGAGGCACCGGCGCACGCTCCACGACGCCAAGCGGTACATCAAGTGCAAACACTGCCGCAAGGTGTTCAGGTGAGCGGAAGGGGCGCCGACGACCACGGACTGGCTTTCTGTGCGATGGCGGTAAGTCTCGCTGTAAGTTACGCGTGACGACCGTAGCACGACATTTTTGCGTGTAGAAATGTTCACACTCTGTTACAGCTGTCACGCTTGACCTTGGTTTGTGGACGTGAATGAATGAACCGTGGAAATGAAACAGCAGTGATCTACCTCCATCTCCAGTCATTTTATTGCTTGAGCCGTCCATTTAGTACAAGTGGAGGAATAACTACGTGCGTTATGTTATTGTTTCGGCCGGCTTTTACCCCGTTTCATTCTAACAATCAGAGTAGCATCTTTGCGCCGGTTAAAACGTAGTTAAAAGCGATTGTGTCGCTCAAGACATCGGGCCTGCCCGTACGCAGCACCGTTCGGCGGCGAGCCCTGTCGTCGCTGCTGGGCGTTTAGAGCGTGCGTGACCCGGCGCTCGCTGGCCGCAGGTCGCGCCTCTCGTACCTGGAGCACCAGGCCCAGCACAGCGGCCAGCGACTGCTGGAGTGTCCGGTCTGCAGCGAGACCTTCAGCCGGCGCGTCTGCTTGGCCGTCCACATGAAGGTGTGCATGATGGTCGTCAGGGTCTGACGGGCTGCGGTCAAGGGCTGACTCTCTGGTGGGGTGTGCGCGTCCGAGGACAGGGCAGGAGAGTGACGAGGGCGCTCCTCAGGTCAGCCGCGCTGCAGCTGCCGGCTGTCCTCAGCCGGCATGTCCAATGGGCCCATCGATGACAGCGGTCTTTTTTACTATGGTGACCTGCGTCCATTGGTGGTGACCTGTAGGACCTGCGCTTGGCGATGGTGACCTGTAGTGGCCTGCCTGATTGTCAGTCGTGACCCGCAGTGACCTCTGGCCCGTCTCTGGCGCAGGTGCACCGGAAGCACGGCGGCGTGCAGACGTGTGACCTCTGTCAGGAGAGTCGTGACCCGCAGTGACCTCTGGCCCGTCTCTGGCGCAGGTGCACCGGAAGCACGGCGGTGTGCAGACGTGTGACCTCTGTCAGGAGAGTCGTGACCCGCAGTGACCTCTGGCCCGTCTCTGGCGCAGGTGCACCGGAAGCACGGCGGTGTGCAGACGTGTGACCTCTGTCAGGAGAAGTTCTCAACTGTGGGCCGGCTGCGCACACACCAGCAGCGCCAGCACGGCATCGAGCAGCCCTGGCGGTGAGTGAGCCGTCGGGCGCGCGGCTTCGCTCCCAGTCGCCACCGGCCGCGTGCACTTGACCCTCCGTCGTGACCCTTGGGACATCGTGGGACCCTGGAGACTTGTGAGACCCTGAAGACCCGTGAGGGACAGATCCCAGCGTCCCAAGACCCAACGAGGAGGCCTGTCCACGGGGCCCTTTTCCGGACCCGTAGGATCCTTGGAACACTTTGGGGACAGACACTTACGAGCGCCATGTGACCTTTGTAGTCGGTGCGCCCCAAAGCCCAAATGATCGTCATCGGGAACGGACACTGGTCGCCCTCTCAGCTCTGGATGTTGCCCTATAGTCCGCGTACCTCATACCCGTCTGTCTGCGGCGGTCCGACAGATGGCGGCCCGACCATGGGGCGCGGGTTTACGGCGCCCCACGTCGTGCCTTGGTTGGCTGCGAACCGATGGTGGTGCGGTGGTGCCATCGTGCCGGCGGCCCGCTGGTCGCTCGGAGGCGGCGCGCGCGCCTGCCGGTTCGACGTGACCAGGCGTACCCGCACGGCGCCGAGCTCGCAGTCGGCTGGAGCTGAGCTGATGGAGAGCTGATGGAGCTGACTCGTTCCCCGGCACCTGCCCGCCGTCAGTCTGGCATGACTTACGGTGGTGGGACGCACAGGGCCGCGGGCTGGTTACGAGAGTCGGTGATGTTGACGAGCGTCGTTCGTTGCCGGGTGGGCGTTCGAGCTCCCCGAGTCCTGTCATGTCGCCCTGCCGCCAGGTGCGAGTACGAGGGCTGCGAGAGGGCCTTCCGCTCGTGCGCCTCTCTGGAGGTGCACGTCGTCAACCACACGGGTAATCGGCAGTTCTGCTGCGACGTGTGCCAGAAGCGCTTCAGCACCAAACATCGGCTGGCCTCCCACTACCGGCGAGTATGCCTGACGGCGGGCCGGCCGACCGGGCGGGACGGGCGGAGGTAGGGGAGGTGGTGTGTCGATGGCTGGAGCGGGTCGGATCACCCCCCCCCCCCCCCCAGCGAGTGGTAGCCGGGGGTAGCTAGTAGCCAGCTGGGCTCCGGAGGGGCCTATCCTCCCCCCCCCCCTCCCCCCCCCCCCCGAGGCAGTGCACAACACCCGTCTGCCACTACGCTGGGGACAAAGACGTGAAAAGGAGTGGCTCGTGGGCGTTTGGAGGAGCTTGCTGTCACTTCGTCAAAGCTGTAGATGGCGGTTAGTCGAGATCTTTCGCTGGCGCGTGCCAGTGTGGCCAGCCACGCCGGCAGGCCTGCCCGGAATGGCAGGCGGGGGGGGGGGGGGGAGGGGACTTCTCTGTGACCCGTCGCACAGCTCACCCGCGCGCCTGGCGGGTGGCGACGGTACAGCTTGGGCGAGTCAGCACTGCGGCAGGCGTCTGCGCCGGCCTGCCGAGCCGGGCCAGAGACAGAGTTCTCCCCCGCCCCGCCGCCCCTTCCGGCGCCGGTGTGTCTCGTCCGTCCAGGGCGGGCGCCGCCAAATGCCGCCACTGGATTGACGGGGATTGGCTGGCGCTGCCGGCGTCAGCACCGGCCCTGACAATGCCAGCGAGGGGTTCAATGCTCCTCCTGGGTCTGCCTCGAAGCGGAGGAGGGCGCGTGCTCGTCATTGTGCTGTATGTGTGGTGCGGCGCCTGCGTCGTCCCAGCTGCCGCGCTGGCCTGGCGTCGTCCTGATGTGCGCTGATGAGAGCGCTGCTCGTGTGACCCAGGATCCACACGGGGGAGAGGCCGTTCCAGTGTGACCTGTGCGGACGACAGTTCACCCACAAGTCCAACTTGTACCAACATACGACCCTCGCGCACAAAACGGTAAGCTCTCGGACCATTGGGCGACGGGGAAGGGAGACGACGCTGGGTCGGGTGGTCAAAACACGCGCTGCTTGTTTTTGTGGTATCGCTGAGGTGCTGCAGAAATTCTGCTGGACCACATTCGCTGGCGCCGCCCAGCTGCTACAGCTACTCGCCCTTGTTTAATCCACTCGGTCTTTGAAAAGGGAGCCACCATGACTCTCCCTTAATTACACCATCGTGACAGTCTTGCAGACAGCAGTTAACCCACGATGGTTTAAGCGTTAATAACCCATGACGGGTTGTTTTTCTCACAGGACACCCACCGCCCTCAGTTTTCTTTACAGGTGACGGCACATTGTATCTGTCACGTTGTGTGCACTTTGTGCCGGACATGCCGCATTTCTGAAGGGAGGACAGATGGTCACATCTGGACAGGCTGTGTCAGCTGTAGCGTGACATGCTCCCCTGACACCCGGACCTCACCTGTATCACTCGCGAGGAGCTGCCAACATGTGACGACAGTGCCAGCGGATTGTTCACGACCTGAGGTGCACGTATATGAGCATTTGCCTCCAGCTCGGACCACCACGGCCGCCGTCGGGGACGGCGTCTGGTGATAGCCGCCTCCATCCTCGCGCCCCGACCTGTCCCCCGACCTGACTCCAGATCTGGCCCAGGATCTGACCCCAGATCAGACCCCTGAACTGACCCCTGACCTATCCGACCCCTGGCCTCACTACTGACCGGATCCCTTATCTGACGCCTTGCCTCAACCCTGATCTGACCCCTGATCTGACCCATGATCTGACCCCTAACCTGACCCCTGACCTGGCCCCTGATCTGACCCCCTACCTGCCCCCCACGGCCGCCAGGAGCGGAACCACAAATGTGTCGACTGTGGCAAGGCGTTCCGGCGCGCGCGCGAGCTGGAGACACACCGGGCGTCGGCGCACGCGGCGTCGGAGGGCGAGCGGCCGGCCGGCGCGCCGCGCTCGGTCGCCGCCTCCCCGGCCTCCGGCAAGCAGTACAAGTGCGCCATCTGCCAGCGCGGATTCCTCCGGCTGGACAACCTCAGGTGAGCGGCTCAGCTGGGCTGAGCAGCCCCGGCGGGGGCCGAGCGGGGCGGGACAACCTCAGGTGAGCGGCTCAGGTGGGCTGAGCAGCCCCGGCGGGGGCCGGGCGGAGCGGGACAACCTCAGGTGAGAGGCTCAGGTGAGCTGAGCAGCCCCGGCGGGGGCCGAGCGGAGCGGGGCAACCTCAGGTGAGAGGCTCAGGTGAGCTGAGCAGCCCAGGCGGGGGGCCGAGCGGAGCGGGACAACCTCAGGTGAGCGGCTCAGGTGGGCTGAGCAGCTCCGGCGGGGGCCGAGCGGAGCGGGACAACCTCAGGTGAGAGGCTCAGGTGCGGCCGACCAGCCCCGGCGGGGGCCGGGCGGTGCGGGACGGCCGCGAGTGAGAGGCTCAGGTGCGGCCGAACAGCCCCGGCGGGGGCCGGGCGGGGCGGGACGGCCGCGGGCTGTCTGATTCGGGCTGGGTAAGGGCAGGTGAGGTCTGGCTGATGCCGGACAGCTTCAGGCGATACTTATCGCGGTCTGAACGAGCTCCGGGGCGTTCAGACTCGAAACTGGACAAACTCACGTGTGGTTTGACTTGAGCTGGATGACCTATTCTTTTTTCGCTGGGCGCCATCGCACTACGAAGTGTGCCACATGAGGGCCCGATCAGCCGGCTCAGCGACCAGGAAAGTGGGACACCATTGGGCAGTTGCTGTCCAGCATGGAGATGATCGATGTTACCCACACAGGACAGCATAAAACGGATTGGACCACGCTGTAAGACGTCTTGCTATCCTACACGTTCTGGCTCACCTAAGATGCTTGTTCCCCACTTGAAACCAATCAAGTACCTCCTGTCCACATCATTGCTCCCCTGTTCTGTCCTCACCGTTCCTGTTCCTCCCGTATACCACTGCCTCGCTAGGCTTTGCTCGTTCACCCAGCGCGCGGCGACCATCCGAACCCCCTGCCGCCACCGTACCGTCCACGCCACTTCACCGGCCGCCAGCCTGGCGCGGCGCTCGCCTGAGTCGGCCGTCCTCCCGCAGGACGCATATGTTCATCCACTCGAAGAAAAAGCCGTTTGAGTGCCGACTGTGCGGCTTGGGCTTCCTGCGTCGGCCGCCGCTGCTGCAGCACATGCAGGTTTACCGGGCACGGCGACCACCGCAACGACTACGTCATCAACGAGGTGAGACGGCGCGGGGGGGGGGGATGGCCGGATCAGGCGCATGTTGCGCTGCGAGCGGCCAGCTACCGGGCAGGTGGGAGGTCTGGGAGCCTGCGGTGGCTGCGACAGAGGCTGAGATGTCAAAGGGGTGTATAGCGTACGTGTGGTTTCTTGATTTTAAAACAGGAGTCAAGACTGGGGTAGTTTGTCCTTCCGCCCCAACCACAGTCGTATCTCTGTCCGCCGGTGTGACTGTGTCTCCCGCCGGCGTGACTGTGTCTCCCCGCCGGCGTGACTGTGTCTCCCCGCCGGCGTGATTGTGTCTCCCCGCCGGCGTGACTGTGTCTCCCCGCCGGCGTGACTGTGTCTCCCGCCGGCGTGACTGTGTCTCCCCGCCGGCGTGACTGTGTCTCCCCGCCGGCGTGACTGTGTCTCCCCGCCGGCGTGATTGTGTCTCCCCGCCGGCGTGATTGTGTCTCCCCGCCGGCGTGACTGTGTCTCCCCGCCGGCGTGATTGTGTCTCCGCCGGCGTGACTGTGTCTCCCCGCCGGCGTGACTGTGTCTCCCCGCCGGTGTGATTGTGTCTCCCCGCCGCGTGATGTGTCTCCCCGCCGGCGTGACTGTGTCTCCCCGCCGTGTGATTGTGTCTCCCCGCCGGCGTGATTGTGTCTCCCCGCCGGCGTGACTGTGTCTCCCTGCCGGCGTGACCGTGTCTCCCCACCGGCGTGATCGTGTCTCCTCGCGGCCAGGCCGTGTTCGTGATGGATGCCCCGGCGGAAGAGGCCACCGGCTCAGTTCGCCTCATCGCCGCCGGTCAGCAGCAGGTGAGGGACGGCTCGTTGGACGGTCACCGGTCACCGTCGGTAGAGGGGGCGGGGGAGGGGTCCACTAGAGGTCAGGACTCGACGGGCTGAGGGGTTCGTCGCTGCACTCATCACTTGTCCTTGATCTGAAAGCATTTGCCTTTTAGTGTGTTTCGTTGAAACAGTGGATTCACCTGTAACCCAACAATGAGAAAATAGTGTTAGCAATAACAAATGCACCTTTCCGCATCTTTTGGAAGTTTTTTCAATCGACGATGGGCAGAAGGTAGCCTTTGGTTTCTCACTGCCAGTTCACTGTCTGTCTTCCTCAGTTGTTCTCTGTATTGGACTCGTCCGGAGGGGGTCAGTTGGACGGCGCCAGTGGGCGGCGTGACGCAGATCATCTTCAAAACGGACTCCCCTCACGCCCAGCTGGACTCGCCGGGCACTGCGCAGCCTCATCTGGCTGACGATAGATGGCAGCAACGGAGCGAGCCTGTATCCCAAGGTGATCAGGGTGACGATAGGTGGCAGTAGTGGTTAAACTCACCCTTTTTTCTTTTTTTGTTGGCACTGTTTTTAAGGTAAAGGTGGGTTTACCTGGCGGGACTTTCTCTTTTGGTTGGGAGGAGAGCAATATTGTGTGAGCATTGTTGGCAGTAGCAGTGTTATACATTGCGAAGATGAGTGAATGGCATCAATGTTGCAGCGTCGGTTTTGTCAACTGTGTGCTTATCTCAGCGTGTTTATAATGTCGCCTGTTCACAGTTTGGATAAAGTTACGGTCGACGGGCTTAGCCATTTTTTTTAACGAAATCTCGCGGAACCATGTATCTAGCGATGTTTAGCCCACTCATCACTTGTATTGCTGTGTGTGTGTGTGTGTGTCAATACACCAAAATGTGCGTGATCTATAGTGCATGCATTTTGTCTGATTTCTGGACTTCTCGCGAAGTACACACTCAGCACAGGTGGACGTTTCTCGCTCGTAATGCAACGCTCTGCATCGTGAGATTCGTAGCAGTCTGAGCACCGGCCTGGCTGGTACATGCCGATACACATGCAGTTCGGCATGGGAGAGCTGTCTGGGACGGGACTGCGGAGCGCAGTGCGAGTCGTGAGGTAGCTGACTCTCCACTCGGCTGGGTGGCGTAATGTCAGTCGGCGCGGCCGGAGAGCGGCGTGGGACAAGTGGGAACCATGTAACCGCGCATGGACGGCTCTGCCGGCGGAAAACCGTCGTAAGACCGGCGCGCGCCGTGTGGCTGGCTGCCTGAGGTGGGGGGGGGGGGGGGGGGGGGGCGAGGCGCTTGTCCACGGTGTGTGTTGTGTGCGTTTGGGACGCCACCGCTGTCAGACCCATGCTTCGCCACGTCGGGGGCACGGCGAACCGGCCAGGTCACTTGCCGAAGGCGCGTCGGCGAACGCCCTTAGTCCCCGGACTGGAGGTGCAGACCCGACGTCTGTCCGTGGTCGTGATCTCATCAGGGTCGCTCGTTGCTTATTCACGACTAGCGTGCCGACGGTCCGTGGCAGTGAACGCGGCGGGCTGGGCGAGGCGCAGGCATTGACACCGTGACCTGCCGCCAGTCTTCACGATGGCCGCGATGAGAAAAGTGCTGCAGGTTATGGTCGGCAGTTTCCAGTATTTGCTGTCGGATGGACCTTACGGAATTTTGGCCAAACGTTTGGCGGCTCTCAAAGTCTGGTGTTCGGTCCTTCGCCTAGTTTTGGTGGATCCTGGGCATGTCGTGTCTTCACGCGCGCCCTCAGCCATAAGTTATCCTTCCGAACGCACAAATCCCAAAAGCAAAACAGTCGTTTGATGCGTATAGCGTACCGTTGAGGGAAAAGCGGTAGACTGCAGGAAAGGGACTATTCTGTCTGTGTTGCTAGAATGGAAGTACACCGCACGTTCCAGATGTAGTATCCTGTGATTAAACTGGCATTTCTGCCAAACGGGGGTTTCAGTATTGCCGGTTACACAGGCCCGTCCCGTGACTCGGTTCGAGCGCCTGCTTTCTTCCGATCCACCCACCCTCAGCGGGGATGGGTGCGAGTCGGTTTCGGTGATCGCTATTTGCCCTCGATAAGTGTGACGTGTTGCCGGTGGCAGCAGGCGCGCTAAAGGTCAGGTGACGTCAGAGGGCAGGACAAACTGCCGAGCAGTGCGGCACGTTTAATTCTCGTCATCACATTATGCCGCTGACCTGGAATCGCACGATCGAATGGCAGAGGTCAGGGCTCACATCATAAGCGTTGCACCTCTGATTCTAAAAGCCCATCATTTCAAAAAGTGTAGACGGAATCCTTTTGAAAACTGCTCCCAGCCGGCCAGCGTCACGGCTCACAGCTCTGTCCCGCGCGCTTCTCACTGAGTGGTCACGGATCACTGTCCATATGAAATTCATCAATGCAGAGTCGGCCAGGACACACTACATCGCCGCATTGTCCACACAGTGGTGTGAGCTCCCATAGACAGTAGGCCCGCCCGAACATCCGGACTGCCCCGTAAACGAGAGCAGATCTCCCCGTCGACCCGGTCCGCGCGGCCGGCCGAGCGCTGGCCTCTTATTCAGAGGGTCCTCAGACCCGTGACGGGCCGACTCCGCGCGACGGAGCGAGCTCGTCCTGCCGCTGTCCCGTGGCGGAGGAGCCTCCGGCGACCGGCCCGCCAGCGGGAGGCGCCCGAGGAACCACTTGTCACTTCGCTCACCTGCGGCCGGTGCGCGCGCCCGGCGGCCGCGAGTCGGCGCCAAAAATACCCGCGCGCGCGCCGTGCCGGCCGCAGTCCCTGCTCCGGCGCCGGGCGAGCGGACCACGTGCACACGCCGCGCCCGTCGCCGCCGGCTCGCACGCGCGCGCGCTCCCAGCCGCACGTCCGGCGTGGACTCGGTGGACGACGGCGTGGACCGGAGTGGACGTCGGGTGGACGGCGCTGGACTGCGGCGGCGATGCGCGCGGGCGGTGCGGCGCCGCCGCCGGCCGTCGGCCCCCGCCGGCGCCTCTGAGCGCCGGACGGCCACGTCCGGCAGAGGTCACTGACCAGGGCCAGGTCCGGCCGTCGCGGCCGGCAGCTGCTTAGACTGGGGACGCCGGGAGCGAAATGCGGGGTCACGATGCCGATTGGTGCCGTAGATGAGGCCGTCGCCCGACCACGAAGCCAGGTGCACTGCAAACATTGCCAAGGTAGGTCCGACGGGGGCGGCCGGGGTGCGTGGCCGGGTCACGCCCGGGGTGTGACGGAAGTGCGTGTCTCAGCAGCGGGGGGTGACAGTGCTGACAGAGGCTGGTGGATGAGCTGCCACAGCAGGTCTGGCGTTGGTGATGGCGCCGCACGGGATCTTGTTGGTTATCAGGTGACTTTGAGGCTCGCAGGGTTTTCGTTATGCTTTGCTTTGCGCTGTTCGAAATATTTGCAACCAGTTCAACACACGAGCCTGTGTGTGGATGAAGGGGGATCATGATTTGAAACATGCATGGTAATGGAAACCCGTAGGAGCGTGTGCAGGCGAACAAATGTTTCGTACCAGGTCGTGTCGTGTCGTGCAGGTAATGTTGTGAAGACACTACTTCCGCTCGCGAACACTGCTGTCTTACGGTGTGAGTCAACATTAAACATGTTCGTGACCTGGTCCAGGTGCCAGGTATCCTCGGTTGGCCAGAAGTGCGTGCGTGGATTACCTTGGGTTGGCTAAGACTGGCTGTACGGGCCGAATAGCTCGTTGGTGAAAAGGCGGGAGGGCGACCGATGTATTGAAAAGTCCTTTCAATGACATGGTTTTTTCCAAAGCTTTCGATTTTTTTTGACTTCAGTTTTTGATACATCGAATTTGTATGTATGTATGTGCGCATACACTTATCGCGGCGTATATGATCGGATAATAATCTCACGAGAATTGGAGATTCGGTAGGAATTGAATTAGGATTGCGGTTTGACTAAATATCAGTCACATGTGAAACCGGAGGCTGCGTGGTGAACACATCGCGTATTAATGATAACAATCCACGCGGGATCAAAATCCTGCGGCGGCTGAAGGAGCAGGCGAGCCCGACGGGCTCAGCTGGGCTCAGTCCGCTCACCGGCCCCGCCGAGCCACAGGCATCGGCCGTCACTAGAGCTGGCCCGGCTGGCCGTGACGGAGCGACGATCCTAGTACTGTTGAGACTGCTCACAGGCTGGTGTTAATGGCAACAGCTCCCCTACGGGAGCAGCCCAGCACACGCTGATCACGAAAGAAGTAGTGAAAACGCATGCTCGGGTGCGAGAAAAGTATGATCGAATGCGAAGAATAGTGGAAACCATGTAAGTTTTAAGCGCATTTACGGGGAACATTATTCACCAAGATAAGACAGAAGCAATAGCCTCACTCCACGGAGAAAACCGGGAAAATGGAGATATAGATGTACTGATATTTCGGCAATATGCCTTTATCGAAACAACATCAGAAGTGAATCCACTGCTGCTATTGTTTCCATAAAGGCAGTTACCGAAATATCAACACATATATATCTCCCATTCTGGTTTTTCTCCGAGGAACAAGGCTATTACTACTTATCGGTAGTGAAAACGCATGATCAGACGCCCCGTGCCATGATCAAGGTCGTAAGTCCAACCATTTCGCCGCCGTCATCGCAGACGTTTTGTTCGCAGTTTGACAAATATCTGTATGTAAATCGTATCTGTTACCGGCGCCCAAGCGTCTTGAAAGCAATCAGCTTCCTTATATCGAACACATTTCATTACAAACACGACTACACGGACATTCTGCGGGCATCGATTAATTCCATGCATGCCGGATCAACTGTCTTCGAGTCATGTACTTACCTGTGTCGTAACTGACTGCAACACGTCAGCTGTCAGTCCTGCACTGCATCACTGAACAGTCCCACTGCCGCGCGTAACGTCGCTGCCGGATGCTGTGTTTGCTAAACGCCTCGAGCTCCAACTTTTCCTGGACTCTTTGGGGGGGGGGGGGGACGCGCGAGCTAAGGACAGTGCTGCAGGTTGCTGAAGCTGAGGTGTGCGGTCTGATTGTAATGGGACCGTCTGGGGTTGTGCTGGCCGCTGACTGCTGACTGCTGGCTGCTGGCTGCACTGAAAATGACTGGCTGGCTGTAATATGGTGCATCTCTGAGGAGATGCGAACGAATTGAAGGGGATCTGACCAAATTGAAACAAAATGAAATCAAAAATCAAAATAAACTACACTGTAAGGAGAGATCAAAGTGCATTTGAAAGTCCGTCTTTATGTTTCATGATCATTGTTTGGTGCAGTACCTTAAGGCTGCACTGAAACAAGAATGGAACGGTGACATTGACCAAGATTATAATTGTTCGGACATCACGCACATAGAATCACGCAGTGTTGTGTCACCAAATC